TGCTGTGTAGCGTTCACACAGGAGTCTGATACAGGTCACATTTAAAATGTAATGTGAACGTTCACACAAAAAGATCGGATTTTTTCAGAAAATCGGAACTGAGCATTAAGACCTGCGGTGTGAACATAGCCTAAGTTAAATTCTTCAGCAGGTCGGGAAGAGCTTTGCAGAGTTTTAGTTGTTTTTAATGGCCTGAACTTGTGTAGCGCTTTATCAAGCCCAAGGACTCCAGAGCTCTTCACACTGATTGTGGTGAGCTACATTGTAGCAACAGCTGCCCTGGGGCAGGCTGACAGAGGTGAGTCAATGTGTTAATCTAGGTGGTCCAATTATTCAAAATATGTCAAACAGCAACAAAACAAGAATTTCACCAACTGCTAYAAAGAATCAGATGCTTATCTGATCGCCAAAACACAAACCTATACAGCATTATTCATGTCAACCTCAAACTAAAAGCTCATCCTCTTGACTACAAAGTGTTTTCTGCACCAAATGTTTAGAGTTTTACCCTCATTATTAGATAAGCTGTTCTGTCTTATCACCACTGTTGTTTCTTTTTGTTATCTTTGTTGGTGACTGAGAAGAACACAATACAAAAATCACAAGGAACTAAAAAGAGAGGTTTTGTTTTATAGTGTCTATTTCTCTACATGGTTGAGGTTTTATCCAGTTGAGCCACTTACAACCAAAACTATCCAATCAAAGCTTCCGACCAGTTTGGTGACATCAGCAAATCTCACAGCAGCTTCTTTAAAAACCCTAAGTGCTTCTTTAATGGTGTTAATGTGAAACAGGTAGCTTCATTTGAAAATTGAAGTTTTTTTTCCTGAAACACTATACCCCATAAAATCTTATGAGGTCATTTATGTGTGTGTGCATGTGTGTGTGTTGCAGCAGATGGCTTACAGAGACTGCAGTGAGAGAAGGTTTTTCAGTGCTGCACTGGGCACAGATTTAAGTTGATTGTTCTGCAGCATCCTGGAGGGGAAAAAAAGCAAAATTTTTGATTATAGAGACAAAGTGACAACAATTTTTAATGATTTAAAAAAACATTTTTAGTTAAAATGCTTAATTTTAGAACAGGTGGTGGCACCATTAGGTTTTCAGATAAACCGTAAAACTCAGTAAAGTCTCAAACTGTCACCAAGCTCATAAAGGAAACAGGACTTTGAACCTTTGACCTATGTGACAATCAGCAGGGAATTGGGAGCATTTTATGTCCCTCTCAGTGCAAATAAACATATCCAACTGTAGCAGTGTGTACGGCCTCATTTTTTAAAATTATTTTTAAGCATCTTTTTTATTTTGTTCTCTGTTGGAGAACCACAATGTCACCACAAACTTCTGTTTACTCTCTCTCCAGCGCGTGGAAAACTTCACAATCTCACAGCTGTAGGTGTAGGTGTGTGTGTGTACACATGTGAGCTGACATTGGCTGGGTGAGTGTATGCTTACAGGACTTTGAGCTGATGCAGTCCAGACAGGGCGTCAGGGTGGATGAATGTCAGGTCATTCCCTGCAAGTCGTCTGGATGAGAAGAGAAAAAGAACGATTCTATTTAATTATTAACTTCTCTGATTTTTTTAAAAAAGAAAAATTCAGAAAACTGAAACTTCTTGTTTCGAAGCTGCGAGGTACAATTTGGCTTGAAATAAAGAAACGCATCAGGTGGAGAGCTTGGCATCAAGCACGTCAGTGGCTTAAGTTCCAGCTCTTAAACTGAATGTGGGACACGGGGTGTCAGAGACATGTGTCTTTGCCATGGCCTGTCGTCACTTCGTCTGTCACCCATAACAGATTAGAGCTGGATATCCCCTCCTTAGATCCCATTTTGAGCAACATCTGTGTCCAGTCCTTTCAGAGCAGGTGAAAAATTCACCTCTTCTAAGTTAACACAATCTTTTTATCCCCTCTTCATACGGTCTCGCCTTGTTACATAAATCAGACGGCAGCGTCGGTCAGTTTACAAATTATTTATGACTGCAGGGACACCTCCCTTTCCTACTGAGTACAGGAAGTAAATAGGAAACAGGGGTGTAAATAAGCATGGGGCTAGCTGACTGAGACATAGAGCCCACATCCACTATCTTGCTTGAGAGATTAGCAGCAGATTTATCAGTGTGCAACATGAGTCAGAACAGGCTGAGTTCCCAGCAGCAAGAGCTGCTATGTGTCGGGCTGAAAATCAAGACCCACTGTGTTAGAGGGCCACTTGTGCGCTACGTTATCTTAAAGCTGGCTATTTGATGGCATGCCATGAATTTTTAAAAATTAGAGTGCGTCTATGCTGTCGGAAAATTATGGAGCAAAAATCTGCCTGTACCACATAACCACGAGCCAGAATGAAAGAAATCACTTCCTAGTTAGTTCTAGCTGAGGTAGATCTTTGATATTTGACTTGCAGGGGTGTTTTACTTGTTTCCCTGCTCTGACACACCTGATTCAATCCTTCAATCAATGATTTAATTACTTCTTCAAGTACAAATCAGGTGTGCTGGAGCAGAAAAACATCTAAAACACGCAGTATGGTGGTTCTCGAGAACAAGGATTGGAAACCCCTGGTCTGTGCCGTAGTTGCATATCAATACTTTTACATATCCAAGGTATGCATTTTGTTTGAAAACACCAATAAAAACCGATTTCTAAATTGTCACATGTAGATGAATTTGTAGGAATAGTACAACCAACTCCTTGACGGCGCACACAACTCAGAACTTGCCGTGACGATCATAAACTGCAAATTACTGCGTACAAACAGGGTTTGACAAATCTTTCAGTTACCCTTCAGGTTTCACAACATAAAGTGCTTCTCCTCTTACACCTTAGAGCAAATTCATCGCAACTTGCCCCGGGGCTTTCCTGGCTTTCATTGTAAAGAAAGGTAAAATCCTCTGCTTGTGCAACACCCCTCCCACACTTCCAAGTCTGTCACCAAAACCTTTCGAGAAGGAAATAAATTAAGTAAATTCATAAATGAGGAAAAGCTTTGTCCTGACAGCGACATATGAATAATTTACATTTGTTTGAATAAACACAAGGTCTAAAAAAATTGTGTAAACTACAAATGTAGTCATACCTATAAATACGATTTTTGATCTGGGAAACCACAACTTGTAAATCCAAAGTAGGACCCCTCCCCCGACCACATGTTCCAACATGCACAATGCACACCTTTTCGAGGCATTGTCAGCTACGATGATAAGCCTTTAAACTTCAGTGCATTTCAGTAAACCTGATGTATTTATGTTTTAATGTAAACAAATAAAAATAGGACTGAGATGTAGGGCCCTATGATTTCCACAACATGGAAAATGCAGACGGAATCACAAAATTGACAAAATGGAATCCAGTATAAAACACAGAATTTGATCATTTGGGGTATTTTGGACGCTGCTGCTCCCTGCACCTGCCATCATCTGGTTTATTTATTTAATTACTTTTTCACTTTCAAGGCAACATATTTATCTTTGTTTAATTTGAGTTTAAAAGCATAAAATGCCTGAGAATTAAAGGTTCTAGGGGGTTAAATAAATAATTTTCTTTTAATAATCAGCTGTTGTACATTATAGGTTTGTAGAACCATCATTACGGTTGACAGAGGGGGTACTATGACTAAATGGCTCAGGGGGTACGCAAGTCTAAAAAGGTTGGGAACCACTGGTGTCCTGATGCATCTCAGTAATCCAGGTAAAAAAATCAAAAAGAAAAAAAATTGTATAGATCCTCTGCACGGGTTCTTCTTCAATGAAACGTTTTGTCTCTCCTCCAAGAGACTTCTTCAGTCTGAGAGTTTCAGGCAAAATTCAGGCTTTTAAGCACTGCCTCCATGTCACATGGAATCGTCATTTGGTCATCATGGTCAGGGAATTTGACATGGTCATTTTTCCATGTCACATGGAGGCAGTGCTTAAAAGCCTGAATTTTGCCTGAAACTCTCAGACTGAAGAAGTCTCTTGGAGGAGAGACGAAACGTTTCATTAGAGAAGAACCCGTCCAGAGGACCAATACATTTTTTTATTTTTACCTCTTCCAAGTTCTGCTGTACGGAGGGCCAAAACGGACATAATTAGAATTAAAAGCAGAAACATTTAAATGAACCTCTAAATAAATAAATATGTTTAAAATGCACCAAAT